AAAAAAAAAAAAAAAGGACATACTTAAGTGAAAGCATTCATTATTTGAAATTCAAATGTAACTGAGCATCCTTGGTTTTTGCTTTGTTTTGTTTTTCTAAATCTGGCAATCCTGATTTATTCATGAAAAATCACTTTATAGCATGTAAATTCTTCTGGCTTCACCTTTCACCTAAAATAGAAGTCTTTTTTCCCTCACCTTCTACTTATTTCCAAAAGAGGGCATCAAGGAACTTAACCTGCCTGCACAGTGGATTTCTATTTAAGAGATCTTTGTGATTATATTTAACCTGTACTTGTGCTTTGGCTTAATGTCTAACTTACACTACTTGTAATTGATTAATATTCAATAAAAACATTTTTAAAGTAAAAAAAAAGAAAATAAAAAATAAAATAAGTAAATAAGATTTATTTATTTATTATATTATTTATAAGGCACCAGCCACATACACCTAAGGTGGCGGGTTCGAATCCCCAGCCCGGGCCCATCAAATAACAATGATGGCTGCAACCAAAAAATAGCCGGGCGTTGTGGCAGGCGCCTGTAGTCCCAGCTACTTGGGAGGCTGAGGCAGGAGACTCACGTGAGCCCAGGAGTTGGAGGTTGCTATGAGCTGTGATGCCATGGCACTCTACCCAGGGGGATAGCTTGAGGTTCCATCTCAAAAAAATAAATAAATAAATAAATAAATAAGATTTACGTATACTAGATGATTAAAAAGCAATACTGGCTCAGAACCCGTTGCTCAGTGAGGGCGCCAGCTACATACACTGAGGCTGACAGGTTCGAGCCCAGCTCAGGCCTGCTAAACAACAATGACAACTGAAACCAAAAAACAGCTGGGTTTTGGGGTGGGCGCCTGTACTCCCAGCTACTCGGGAGGCTGAGGCAAGAGAATCACTTAAGCCCAAGAATTTGAGGTTGCTGTGAGCTGTGATGGCACAGCACTCTACCAAGGGTGACAGAGACTCTGTCTCAAAAAAAAAGAATGAGGTGCTGAGATGAAGGAGAAAAAAATCTTTGGAAATGAGGAATTCAAAAAATTGAAAGGCCCACATATTGAGTAAGTTGTGTGTGTAGGTGCTGAGTCCACAGAGAATAATGACAGAAGCAATAAGGAAAACAGCAAGCCAAGAGCTGAGGAGCTGTAAGGAGTACAATAATAGGGACTGCGGGCAGCAGGTTAGCTTCCAAGAAGCTGAGAGGTTTTAGGAAGAAGAAAAAACTAAAATCAGGAAGAAGCCATGGAAAGCAAAGAGGTCACTTCCTGCATTTCCAAGCCTCAGAGGGAATTGATCACAGCTTGGAAAGATTAATCGAAAGCCTTCAGGGGAAGAGACTGAAGTTTCCAGTAAGAAAAAAGGAAAGTTTGAGAAGTCAGAAGATGTAGAGGAGCCATGTTAACTCATTTTAATGTGTTTATAAATTTTCAGAAAAGATTTTCCTGTACAAAAAACTGGTTCTTTTTTTGATTTTTGTTTTTGTTTTTGTCTTTTTGAGACAGTCTCACTATTTTGCCCTCGGTAAAGTGCTGTGGCGTCACTGCTCACAGCAACCTCCAACTCCTGAGCTTAAGCGATTCTCTAGCCTCAGCCTCCTGAGTAGCTGGAACTACAGGGACCTGCCACCACACCCACCTATTTTTTGTTGCAGTTTGGCCAGGGCCAGGTTCGAACCCACCACTCTCAGTATATGGGGCTGGCACCCTACCCACTGAGCCACAAGCACTGCCCAGTCCATGGAATTTGAATCCTGACTCCCCACTATGAGTAGGAGAGAAGGAATGAGCCTGCTGGGCACCCTATTGAGGGGATGTCCCTAGAGGGTGGGAAGTAATCACAGATACCCCTTATAGGCCCTCTTGCACTGAAAGTCTGTGACTCTAATGAATTTGGCCATCTCTTTATTTTTGACAAGTCCCTTCCCACTGGCTAAGCCTCAGTTTCCATATATGTAAAGTGAAGAGTTTGAACTGTATTTTCTCTTGCCTCCTTCTAGCTCTGATAATCTTCAAATCTCCTGGAAACATTTCTGGCTCCAGTCCTGTATTGGGAAAATGAGACCAGAGAGACACAGACATGCGCAAGAAGTCAACAGCATTGGCCCAGGACGCTGGCTCATGCCTGTAATCCCAGTTCTGTGGGACACCAAGGCGGTTGGATTGCTTCAGGAGTTCCAACCTAACCTGGGCCAGAGCAAGACCCTGTCTCTACTAAAAATAGAAAAATTAGCTGGAGGTGGTGGCATCTGTTGTCCCAGCTATTTGGAAGGCTGAGGCAAGAGGACTGGCTGAGCCCAGGAGTTTGAGGTTGCTGTGAGCTATAACGCCACGGCACTCAGGGTGACAGAGTGAGACTGTGTCTCCAAAAAAAAAAAAGAATACAATAGCATCATCTGAGGGGAACAGAAGACCCAATACTTCCACTTGTAGGGACATAAGCATCTTTGCTTTCCTTGTTATGCATACACACACACTTCAGGCAAGAAAACCCAGAACCATTTACACCTGCAGTCACCCACACCCATCATGTGGCCACAGTATCATACTCCGTTGTATTCACATCTCCTCAAACACACAGTGTCCCACAATCACCATCTCCCAAAATCTCAATCCAGAGACCTCTTCCTACCTTGAGCAGATGAGGCAGCTGCTGAGTAACCAGTGCCTTAAACTCCTCGATGCTGAGGCTGCCCTTCCGGCCCTCCTTCCCTGCAAAGGTGAAGAATGTGGTGACTACTGTCTCGATGGCCAGCTCCAACTCAGTCAGTGGCTCTGCTGCCATTCCTCCCTGGGGCTGGAGCTGACCTATGGAACAGGGAAGGAGCAGAGAAGAGAGTCAGGGACCAGGGACAGATCAGAAGACCCCTGCCTTGGTACTGCCACCTCAGACCTCTGCCTGGAGGGCACCATGTGGGAAGAAGGAGGACACAGGGGCTGAGCTTGGGGAAGGGGGCCAGGCAACAGCAGCTCAGTTTAGGTGGGAATGGGAGATTTGGTTCCAGCAACCCTCTAGTAGGTCTCACAGTCTGGGAGGGTCTTTCTCAAGTGTCTGTGTCTTAGGGACCTCTTATGGTAGCCCCTCAGTCTGAAGACACCTCTGAGAGACTTCAGTCTGAGGTCCTTCTTTGGAGTTATTTTGAGTCTGGTGGCCCCTCTGGGGGTGTCTGTTCCAAGGGCCCCTTCTTGTCTCATCCAGCCTCAGAGGGTCATGAGGCAGTTTGTCTCCAAAACACGTTTATGTTAGGAGCTGGTGTCCAACTGCCCACACCCTGCCCACCCACACACACTCCTCCCAGCAGAGAAGCCTAGGGCCTGGCCACTGGCCAGGCTAACCGTGGTCAAACCTGGCTGGGGCGGACATATCCATCTTTCCTGCTCCCCAGCCCTGCCCCTCCTCAGGGCTGGCTGAGCAGAGTGCTGGCTGAGCAGAGTGCTGTGACCAGGACCTCAAGGTTCTCCTGGTTCTTGCTGCCAACTGACAAGGGTGCTGGGACAGGACTCCTCTGAGCCCTGCATACAGGAGGGTTGGCAGGGCACCTAGGGTGCAGAGGGGAGGGCTGGAGGAAGGGACTGACTCTCCTCCCTCCCTTCTCTGCCCACATCCACACTCCAGCAGGGACTATTGCTGGGATTCAGAGAGCCACTTCCTGAATTCCTCCCTATGCTGACTCTGGGGAAGGGGCTGGGACTCCAGGAGAGAAGAGGATCCCCAGGCTCTTTCCAGGGCAGGGGCCCACAACTCACCCAGGCGCAGCCTCACCGGGTGCAGCGCTCACAAGAGCTGGAGCCCGCAGATTGAGGTTTACCAGCAGGAGAGAGAGAGCGAACAGAGCCGGCCAGCGGGAGTGCTCTATTGGCCAGAGGTATCAAGTTCCCGTCGTTGATTCGGGACAGGAGCCGCCCAATCACGCCTCTTGCCCTGCAATCAGGCCTGGTCTCAGCCCTCCAACCAGACCCAGGTGCACCCCGTGTATGGAAGAGGGCTGCGTGGACAGATCGTGTTCAGCGGGGCTCCTAGTGTTACCCCCACACACACACACAAACCACCACACTCCCCACATCTAATCAGGAGAGTCTATGTCAGGGGAGAGGGAGGAGCAACAGCTGATTGAAAAAAATCAGCCCAGGGAGCTCAGCACGGAGAGGGCAGACCCCTCCAATGTCCCTGCCGACCAAGACCCCCGCTCTGAGAACCCCAGGCTGAGACACCCATGGAAGAGTATCCTAAATTGAAACCCCTCAGGAAGGCCCGTTGCCTGAGTAGACCCTCTGCCCTGCCCTGCCCGGCAGCGGGAGCATCTCAAGCCCCTCCTTGAGCCTCTTTCCCCACTTCCTCTCTCTTGCCTGGCCTGCTGGTGCCCAGCAGAGAGAAGGGGGGCAGCCAAGGCCAGGAAGAGACACAAGGCAGCCTGTTCCAGCCCAGGAGACAGAGGGCGCCTCTGTCCGCAGCTGGCCTCTTGCCCTGTTGGGTGTCTGCATGTGAAGGGGTGGAGCTGGTGGGGGGGGTGGGAGGGAAGGACACTGAAGACAGGTCTCCCCACACAGCTCCAGCAGCCACACTTGGAGCCTTGACTGGCCACCTACAACCTGTTCCCACTTCTGGCTGGCTGACCGTGAGTATCCCCCAACCTATGCTAGGACCCATGGTGTGGCCAGGCTGGGAGAAAGGGGGCCTCTAAGGGGTTCCAAGAGACTGGGAACAATAGCATTATGGGGCACTGAGCATCTGGAGGGACAGCCAGGCTGAGGGCAGTCTGGGATTTGAGAGGAAGTAGAGTTTGCAAGGTAATGAACAGAGCCAAGTGAGCTGAGGATAGGGGGACCAGTGAGGACTCCCTACAAGCCTTCAGTACCTTCCCCCCCACACACACAGAGCTCTCAAGTCCCCTGCCAAGGCCCTCCCCTTCCATGGGGTAAGAGTAAGAGAGAAGACAGCTAAGCCCCCTTCCATCCTCCATCTCTGCCACCCCACCCAGCTTTGCCAAGAGCTCAGGTCCCAGGGAATCCTGGTGGTGGTGGTGGTGGGGTGACAGAGCATGGCTCCTGTGACATCAGGAAGAGGGGGCCCTGGATGCCTACCTGCCCCAACTCGACCTTCACACAACTTCCCCTTTCATTCTCCCTTTTTTTGGCCCAGACCTCCAGACTCCTCTTTCCCCCAGTTCTTTCCTCTTTATTTTCCTGTCTGCCCTGCCCAGGTCCTCTCAGAACTGCCCCCACACAAACATAAAACCCCAGGCTGCTCTAGGGCTCCAGGCAACCCCTATGTAAGCCCCTCCTGTATAGGGTGGTAATTGAACCACCAGCATCCCTCCCTCAAGAACCCCCTTATCCTCTCCATCAACCCAGGCTTAGGTTCCATCTCCCTGTGTCTCTGTGACAACTGCTTCTCATGTCCAGAGTTCAGGTGACAGTCACAAGGGCCCCATTGAAGAGCTGGCATACCATCTGATCAGGGCCTATTGTCCAGTCCCCCAGGCCTGGGGAGGGTTGGGGATACCTGATCTGAGACACCTGAGCTGCTCCTGGGACTGTGACTATAGAAGGTCTATCTCAGTGCCAAGGACAAGAGACACACCCCCCCCCCCAATAGCAATCCCTCCTCTCAACAGACTCCACACTCATCCCAGGCTGCTCATAGAGAGCTCAGAGGCACTGCAACCCCCTCCCCAACTTGCCAAGAAGGCTTAGGCACCTACTCAGGCTGCCACCACTCCATCAGGCTCATTGAGGTGCCAAAATGACCCCTTGGCAGGGGTGGGCAGCAGAAACAAGACTATAGAGAAGACCCCAGCCCACCAAGCCACAGAGCCTGGTTGTGCTAGGCAGGCACAGGGTTAAAATAGAGCCAGAGTGAGCCTCGCCTGGTCCTGTGACCACCACTGCTGCCCTACCCTCCTCAGTCTCTGCCCACAGCCAGTGTAGATGTCTACTGGAGGCCCCTGGAGCCAGCCCAGCTCCAGCTGCTCTCTCTCCATGACCCTAGCATGACTCCCCTGGGCTGGGGTACAGATCGGGGGACACGGAGGACAAGTCTGGATTTAGGTCTGTTGGAGGACCAAGGCTAGGCTTGTGGGGACTCCCCTCACCTAGTCCCCTAGTACGCTAGACCTAGTCCCCAGCTCCCTTCCATTGTTGGTGGGGTATTCAGGTGCACTGCTGTGATGGGATCTGAGCTGGAGACAGCGATGGAGACCCTCATCAACGTGTTCCATGCCCACTCGGGAAAGGAGGGGGACAAGTACAAGCTGAGCAAGAAGGAGCTAAAAGAGCTGCTGCAGACCGAGCTCTCTGGATTCCTGGAAGTAAGCAGAGGGTGGGAGCAAGGTGGAGTGGGAGAGGGGTGGGGCAACTGGTGGTACCTCTCTGCCATCTCCCCACCCACCCCAGTTCAACCCTATCATCTTCCTCCTCTCCAGGTTTCTCTCCTGGGTTTTCTCGGGTGCCCAACTCCTCCTGGGTCAAGCCAAAATGCCCTGGTTTATTGGTCCCCTGTTAAGTGCTAGGCCCTAATAAAACTCAACAGTCTAGAGGGGAATGACTGACACTTAAAAGTAGACCAAGGATAGGGTGACCAGATTTTAACATTTGTAAAGCAGGACAAGGCCCAGGGGCGGGGCGGAGGCGGGGCAGGGCCTAAAAACAATGCAAACTTTGATAAGCAGTTCTCCATAATCACTTCTCAACAATTATTTGTTATTATTACAGTTTAACATTATAAAATTAACAAAAATAATATAAAACTCATATTTTGGAGAAATAGCCACATGGCAGCCAAAAACCATATATTCCCTTCCTGTTCTCCCGCCCCTTCGTGCATTCTTTCCAAAAATCAGGACTCTTTTAAAACGCAGCGGGACACAAGACAAATTGTTCAAAAGCGGGACGTCTGGTCACCCTAACCATGGGGGCCAGGTGCAGTGGCTCACACCTGTAATCCCAGCACTCTGGGAGGCAACGGTGGGTGGATTGCTTGAGCTCAGGAGTTGGAGACCAGCCTGAGCGAGACCCTGTCTCTAAAAATAGTCAGATGCCTGTAGTCCCAACTACTCTGGAGGCTGAGGCAAGAGAATCACTTGAGCCCAAGAGTCTGAGGTTACAGTGAGCCTATAGCACTCTACCAGGGGGTGACAAAAGTAAGACTCTGTCTCAAAACAAACAAACAAACAAAAGTAGACCAAGATGGCCAAGGCTAATGGCTCACGCCTGTTAATCCTAGCACTGTGGGAGGCTGAGGTGGGAGAAATGCTTGAGAACAGGAGTTTCAGATCAGTTTGAGCAAGAGTAAGAACCCCATCTCTACTAAAAATACAAAAACTAACTGGGTGTTGTGGCAGATGTCTGTAGTCCCAGCTACTTGGGAGGCTGAAGCAAGAGGCTCACTTGAGCCCAGAATTTGAGGGTGCTGTGAGCTATGATGATACCCAGGGTGACAGAGTGAGATGCTGTCTCAAAAAAAAGTAAACCGGCTTGGTGCTTGTGGCTCAATTGGCTAAGGCGCCAGCCACATACACCTAAGTTGGTGGGTTCGAATGCCGCCTGGGCCCGCCAAACAACAATGATGGCTGCAACCAAAAAATAGCCAAGCGTTATGGCAGGCACCTATGGTCCCAGCTACTTGGGAGGCTGAGACAGGAGACTCGCTTGAGCCCAGGAGTTGGAGGTTGCTGTGAGCTGCGATGCCACGGCATTCTACCCAGGGTGACAACTTTAGGCTCTGTCTCAAAATAAATAAATAAATAGATAACAGCTTATTCTGTAAGCAACAGGAGCCCTCCGGTGTTCCAGGAGAGCAGAATCCCATATTTAGATGTAGTTCCTTATTTTTTTCTCTCCTCAACCACCTTCCCCACACTTCACTCAGTGTTGTACACCTCCCTCTCCCTACGCACGACCCCTTCTCTCCCTCTCCTCCCACAGGCCCAGAAGGATGCAGATGCTGTGGACAAGGTTATGAAAGAGCTAGATGAGAATGGAGATGGGGAGGTGGACTTCCAAGAGTATGTGGTGCTGGTCGCTGCTCTCACAGTGGCCTGTAACAACTTCTTCTGGGAAAACAGTTGAGCAGACACCAGTGGGCAGCGCCTTTCCTCTCCGCCCTGCCAGACCTGCCTCTGCACCCTGCTTCCACCTCAACCCACTTCTCCCTCTCTCATTCCCACTCTTGCACACTTCCCCACACACATCCACAAAGGGCGCAGGAGCAGCAGCCTACAACTCATCTTTCATTAAAGGCTCCTCTCTCACCTGCCATTTGGTGTCTGTCTCCTTTTCAGTCTGGAAGTGAGTGGAAAAGCAAGGCCTGTTCACTCTCAACTCCCCTTATTTGGGAAGGAGTCTTAAATTATTTAGGGAGAGGTCACAATGCATTGTATCTTCCTATTTGAGAAATACTCGGCTCGGCGCCTATAGCTCAACCGGCTAAGGCGCCAACCACGTACACCTAAGGTGGCGGGTTCGAATCCCCAGCCTGGACCCGCCAAACAACAATGA